TTCCTTATAGGGGTGCAACTCGGTCAGATTGGGCGGGTTAGAAGGTCAACCCAACCCTAACCCAACTTTTACAATTCGGGTTCGGGTTTAGGTTGGGTTTTAATCGGATTCATTCGAGTTCAGGTTGCCTAACTTTTTCAAGTTTTAATCGGGTTCATGCAAAGTATGAATTAAAATACAAGAAATACCAAAGCTAGTACCAAGAGGAAAAAAAAAAAAAAAAAAAAAAGAGGAACACTTCATTGTCCAAAGCTAGTACCCAACTCAAGTCTTGTCTTTCGAAGCTCATGTAGAAAAATCAAAGTGTGGTTGCCAGAAAAACAATTGTTTTCTGCAACTCTATGCATTTTTCTATCATAATCCATCAAAAGTCACTAGTGAATCCTCCACGAAGGTGTAAAGGTCATTGAGAAACATGTTGCACAACTCAACCCAATCGGGTTTAGTTAATCCGGTTGGGTCGGGTTGGACAAATGATTAACCCAACCCAACCTAACCTAATCAATGAACGGGTTGAAATCAGGGTTGGGCTCGGGCAGGTTATAACTAAAAAAAAACCTGCCTGTTCGAGTTTAAAGTTGGGTTAAACATGGGCGGGTTCGGGTTGGCCCAACTAAGTTGCACCCCTAGTTCCTTGTGGACAATAAGCAAACGTGTGACCAAAGTGTGGAAGCGTCAGCCAAAATCATAAAGTATCTAAATGGTTCGCAGGGAGGGTGAATTGGTCCACAAATGTCTCATGAATTTGTTGTAAAAAAATGGGAGGATTCGAACGAATCTTGTCATAAGAAGGCTTAGTGATAAGTTTTCCCATAGAACATGTTTGACATGTGATTCCTTGGATCAAACCTAAACTTCGGGTTAGTGGATGCCCATATGATGATTTGAAGATACAGCATCGTTATTCGTCCAGGATGTCCCAAATGATCATGCCAAAGTGTAATTTCATGTGCGGTCCCAGTAGTAGAGCCGGCCACATAGTGGCATTTTATGGAGCATATGGTCATAGTATACAAACCACTTGGGATACATTCCATTTTCTCTAGAATACGTTTCTGGCCATATTCGTAGGAAGGTATGCACAAAAATTCAACTTCGTTTTCTACGTGGGTTTCAGCATGGTAATTGTTATCTCTAATGTCCTTGAAACTTAACAACGTTCTACCGGAACATGGAGAATAGAGTGCCTCAACAATGGTCAAGATTATACCATTGGCCAACATTATACATGCATTACCGTATCCTTCTATCAGGTTGGATGGGGCTGAGAAGGTTGTCAGAGGTGCATTCGCAGGTATGAAGTTAGTGAAATAAATGCGTTCATGCAAAACGGTGTGCGTGGTTACACTATTTGCCAAACAACTAAATTCCCCACTAGTCATACCTAGAATGAAAAATTAATTTGAATCGGTCACATGCATAAAAGTTCTAAAAACAAATATCAATTCAAAATAATTTCATTTATTCAAGGATGGTAATTAATTAAAACTTAATATCCAAAAACAAATCACCAACAAATAATCCAAACATAAAGGAAAATTATTCAAAAATCAATAAAAAACAAAGGCGGGTTCGGCCACTAGGTGGAGTTCGGCCCCATTGTGCAATTTTAACTAGCTAAAATTGTTTATGTCTAAGATTCTAATCTTCCATAGAGGTGGTATCCTCTTGAAAGTCAGAAAACTCCATCTTTGTAGTCTCCAGTTCGCCCACTTGCACGAAGTTTGATTCAAACTTCTTATGACGAGAATGATATTCAGCTACAACTTTCTGGGGAGCTCGGCAAACACGGAACCAATAGTCCTTTGAACCACAGCGCTAACACATATCCGCATCCATGGTTTCAGTGCTTTTCCTTTATTCTTAAAGTTCAGGGCCTTGGAAGCGAGGTTTGGGCGCTTATGGGCTTTGTTTCCTCCATTAGATAGGCCTTGACTTTGTTGACCTTCGTGGGGTGGCTTATGGCCACCCCTACCACACCTCTTTTGGCATTTTAGGCGTTGATTTGGTCTATAATGTGTTTCAGGCGCAGTAGTCACCCTAGTAGGTCAAGCTTGATGATTCTTCATCAACATCTGGCTCTACTTTTAGCGAGAAGTAAAACAGAGATCAAATCCGAGAACTTAGTGAAATTCTGAGCTCTATATTGTTGCTGCAGGACAATATTAAAAGCAGAGAATGTCGAATAGGTTTTCTCTAGAAGATCCTTTTCAGGTTAAAGTTTCGTTACAAAACTTGAGAAGTGATCGGATTTGACAAACTTCAGAATTATATTCATTCACAGACTTAAAGTCTTAGAAGTGTAAATGTTGCCAGTCATGTCTTGCTTTAGGCAAGAATATGTCATTTTGGTGATTGAAACGATTAGCCAAAACGACCCATAGTGCGTACGGATCCTCATTAGAAAGATATTCAGTTTGCAAGGAGTCATGGATTTGTCTTCGGATAAAGATCATAGCAATGGCTTTCTCAACTTCCCCAACAGGGTTGTCCGTCTCTTCTTCAATGGCAGGACACAAGTTCTTTGCAGTGAGGTAGAGCTTCACATCTTGGACCTACTTGAGGTAGTCCTTCTAGAGACCTCCAAAATGGAGAAGTCGAGTTTGTTCAAATTCGACATGTTCCTGTCACAAAATAGATGGACAAGATGCGGTTAGTGTAATGGAGAAAAATCAATCCATTCACATAGGAGTAGAACATACAGGTTCTAATAGACATGTACTGGCTTAATTTTGCATGAAAAAACTTCAAGTTTTCATGGGTGATGTTTTAAATGAAAACTTTAGGTTTTCAAACAAGGCATGGCTCTAAGAAACTTTAGGTTTCAAAATAATTATGAACTTTAGGATCATATGTTCCTGTATGCAAACACAAATATATACACCGAAATATGCAACAATAAAATATGCAAATAGAATTTCAGGTCTATAATTATAATTGAATTAATTATTTGGACTTCGGGCCAAATTTAAAGTGTGGGTGAAAAAATATAAAACCCAAATTGTTAAACAATCGAAGCTCGGGGCCCAAAAGTATAGGCCAAAGCCCACGGGTAGGCTAAGCAATTTCAGTCCGTGTGACTCAGGCCCAAAAAATAGGATTATGGTGTCTCGGGTGCAGGTTGCAAGCCCATGGAGAGAGGGAGAAAAACAGCGGGCCGCAGAAAGTGAGCCTAAAAGATTCACATGGGCCGCTTCAAGCAAGCCCAAAAACTTTTTTTTTTTTTTTTTTCACAGGTCGAAGGAAACGGCTTTGCGGCCAATACAGGGAGCCCAAAAAGGAAACAGGAAACAGGCCGGAAAAGTGAGCCCAATAGGGCTCAGGTTGGGTCCAAAGACACCCCAGTAATAGATGGGTGCGTTCGCCGGTGCCATCGCTTCAGAAGGTTGTGCTTTGGGACAATAGTGCTCGGGGCGAGTCCATGGGTCGACGAAGACCTCAAAGATGAATGGGGATTGAAAAAAATTCAATCATTCTAACAAAACCTTAGAAATTTGAATTAGGTTTTTAGAAAATTTTCGATGAATCTCAATCGAGTTCTGGTGTGGGACAACTTCTGGTCATCGGCAACATGAACAAGACGTTCAGGGTGGTGGCTGCAAGCTATGCATGTGGTCGACATGGACAAGGACACCATCAATGGTGTCGAGTTTTCTGGGTTTCCACCTAGAGCTCTCGGCTCCGGCACGGCTCAGCCATAAGTTGCAGGCTTGGGTAAGCACTTGAGGTCATGGGTTTGAAGAACCCAGGCCGTGGTTTCCAATTTCTTTTATTTCCCTTTTTTTCGATTCAATTCATATATAATTCAATTTGAAGCATACGTAATTCAATAATTTTAATGCATGCATATATATTTCATGGCAAATATCAAATTCACATAATTCAACAATTATGAATATAATGTATACACAATTTATGTAGAATCTAAAATTCGAAAAACATAAAGTTGGGTCATGCATTATGGTGAATGTTTATGCTATCAGGGCTGCAAAAATATCGAGATAAAAACCGTTATTTTGAAAGAACCTGATTGCGTGATGATATGGATGAACTGGTTTAATACAGAAACTCTCCTTGTCCAATTCCTAAGCACATTGGTTAGAACGTGTTAATAACGTGTTGTAGCCTATTTTATCTAACAAGGGGAAGGGGGTTGGCGGCAAGGAGGAGAGATTTGAGATAGATATATTTGTAGAATTGTAGGGGAATGTGTGTGTTATCCCTCCTACATAGTGCCTTTATTTATAGTAGTAAAGGAGAGAAGAAATTCCTTCATCCCCTAGGAATACAAGTTGTAACAGGAAATGATAACTAGAATCAAATCTAACGTAGAATTTATACAATCAAACTTAAACTAGGAAAGTTTACAAAACAATTTAATTTATGAACATCAAAAAATTGTTATAAAAAAAAAAGAAAAAAAAAGAGACATTTAATACGTATGCTAACATTAAATAGAGTCTAAAAACTAAAATCAATTTTTAATTTTCTATAAGACTTTTTTTTTTAAACTTCATCTTATTTAAGGATTAAAATCTAATTTTCTAAATAAAATATCTCCTTCCCTTTAAAAGTAGAATTTTTGCGGCTAAACTATTAAAATGTGGTAACTGGTCATAGTATTTTACTAAATGGAAAGTTGAACGCGAAATGCGGCCACACAGGCTAGACAAAGAAACACGTGGAGGGAAGGAAGCGGCATTACCTCCTTCTGTAACGGTCATAACTGCCACGTTGATCCGAAACGCGCCACGTTGAGAAACTGTCTGATCGATGGACGCCCAAACTTCTCTCTCCGACTTAATTTCCCCATCAGAAGAAGCAGCAGCAGCGGCGATCATCGTCAGACGCATATTTACATACACCTCGTCTGAATGCAATAAGCTCTTCAATAATCTCACGCTTCCAGTAACATTTCAAAATATTCTTACTTACCCACAAATATTCAGTGCTCAAGAGTGAAAATTCGACCAAAATAGAAAGAAAAAAGATTGGTGATCATGGGGAAGAAGACAGTGTTTTTAATGGCGGCGGTGCTGTGGATGAGTATGGCGGCTGGAAGTTGGAGTGAGGATTCTGCTGTGGACAAAGCCGGGGACAATTTGAACTTGGCAGGTGGGAATGCCAAACACCAAGCTTACGAGACCGCCCGAGATGCCAAGGAAACCACCGAATCGTGGGTTGGTCGGGCCTTTGGCAAAATCGCAGAGTAATCTTTTTCTTATTTTGTTTTCAACTTTTAATTTCCTTCCTAATGCATTTTATTTAGCCAAATATACACAAATGAAAATCGTCACAAAATTTTAAAAAGAGCTCGCGAAAATTTCGAAAGAAAATACAAAGTCATTAACTAAAACGGAAATAGAGGGATTCGAACCCTCAGTACGAAAAACTCGTACAACAGATTAGCAATCCGACGCTTTTCCACTCAGCCATCTCTCCTCCCAATTGGAGAGGGAAATGAACACTTTGAGAAGACACTGTTTCACTCTTTATATAGAAGTCATTGCTCTTTCATGACAATGGGGTATCATTTTATTCATTTCCTTCATAATCATCTAAATATTATCTCTAGAAAAAATCATTTTATTTGAAGACCGTTTAATCATTCTCATTCTTATGAATGCAACAAGTTGATAGTTTATCATGAAGATATTAATTAGTACCGTAATGTTGATTTGACTCACACTTACTACAAATGAATAAACAATCGAATCCATTTTTTCATGAGATGATTCTTAGATGATGATAAATGAACAGTTTCCCTAATAACGTTTATACAATAATAATGTCGTTATTATTGAAGGATGAATGGCTCACTCACAAGTATTATCCATGAAGGAAATACTAATTAAAGTCATGTATGTTTAGAAGTGTTCTAGCTCTGCTCAGTTTTCTATGCTAATATAGTCTTACAAACTGTTGCTTTTTTTTTGGTTGGTGATAGATGCTCATATTATTACTTTTGGTAAAACATGTAAACAATGTTTGATATATTTTATACTACTTGAGCTACTTTTGCGCGCCACTGCATACATTGTTGTGTGGTTATTTTCCCAAATTTATAGAAATTTAGTGCAACCAAGTGTTTAAAATATCGGTATTGGTGAAAATATAGCTAGAAAATTTTGTGAAAATATCGATGGGTATATCGTATATCCATTGCCTTCGATGGAAATGATAGAAATTTGTTCAAAAACATGGAAATTTAAAATTATTTTTTAGGGAATGTCATAAGAAGCCACAACACATGTATGAATCAAGAATTAATGATTGGATACTGTGTAAGCAATAAGTATGTGATATGTGAGAAGAAAAACTTCCTTCTAATGACAAGTAATAATATAAAGCATTTCACTAGAAAGAATAAAATATACATAACTTAATTGAAATTTTCGTCATGAAAGCAATACAAGTTTTATTGAAGTAAACTAATACCATAAAGAAAGAATTTAAAAAATAAAGAATACATAGGTGTTAACTACATTGTAAAAGATGAAGAATTGGTACAGAGGAAGAGGAAGGTGATAGAGAGAAACAAAAGAAATTCTAGAGAGAGAGTTTAAAGAGAGAAATATGATTTGTATTAACTCATTAAATAAAGATCACACACATTGTTTTTATAAGAGAAATCCTAATAACCTTACTAACTATATTACACTTGTACCCTTAATAATAGGCTCATGGATATTTCGTGCAAACTTTTTGCAAATTGTCTGTAAACACTGAATATTATCTGAAAATATCAAAAATATCTAGGAAATTGACTGATTTCTGAAAATATCGCAGATATGAGGTGAAGTTTAGACTTCACCCCCCCCTCTTTCATATCGTTCCCTGAATTTTTGGATATTTCCTTGGAAATATCGAGCATATGCAGGATATTCCAAACATTGGGTGCAACAATATTTCATTTGTTCATATAGTTTTTATATATGCTGACTCATTTGGGACCTCGTCTATTTACAACAAGAAAATTCAAATTCAATGTTATGCATCAAATTATTTGGTCACCAAAAGTCAGGATAACAAGTATCTTATGGTTTATTTTTCACAGTAGATTAGGAAAACACTCGCGGAATTTTAAGTTTTATACAAAACTACCGTAAGAGCTCAATTGATATGTGAAATTCTTTTGGTGCCGTTCCCCTATAAAAATTCAGTTTTTATCTTTTTTTTTTTTTTTTTTTTTTCCTATAGGACTGATCAGTTTGAAGGGTTCTTGAAGTGTAATGTTATCAAAAGCCCTTGTTTTGATAGCGCTGTTCACGTATGGTGACTTAAGTAGATCCGAGAATTTACTTAACCTCAATTGTATGAGGTTGGTCAATCAGTCCGTTTTAATGGTTATTAGGAAGTGTTTTTTTGGGTTAACTATTAGGCTGAGTTTTAAGTATTTATATAAGGTGAAATGTCTTAGATTTAGGCCAAGTGTATAATATACTAGGTATATTGATCTATTGGGCCTCTTTGCTAACAACTCAATCTCTGAGCTTTTAGGTTCAATGCTCTATATATAGCATGCTGCGTACATGTGTGAATAGTTGTTGATTATTGATAAGCTGTGTGATATGGTGCTGTTCAGGGGGCTTGGATTTAGCCAAGGTAATGCAAAAGATGCAGCCAACAATGTGATGGAGAAAGCTGGGGATGCAGCATCTACGGCTACAGATAGGTTAAGAACAAGCACATTTGGAACACGTAATTATCAATTTATCATATTGTTTTCTGAGATGAAGTACTTAATTAGTCAATAAATAGTTCTTCAAACAAGTATAATTGATTTCATGCTTCTGGGTTTTACTTTATGTTCTCCCTAAATGGATCATCATACTGATCCCTGATTTTGCAAATGGCAGCGGATGCAGGAAAGTTTGTTCATGACAGGTTTGACTCATCTATAAGAATGCCTACCGATAAGGTTGACAATGCCAAAGAGACGATGAGAGGAGCAATGGATTCAGGAATGGAGGGAGTAGCAAATGCCTATGGTGAAGCAAAAGATACAATGAATAAAGCTGTCGGTGCCGCTTCTGATAAGGCTCGTGAAGCAGTGGAGTATGGAAAAGAAACAGCTGTCAATGCATATAATACTGATAAAGTTGACAATGCCAAAGGGACGGTAAGAGGGGCAGTAGGATGTGGAGTGGACAGAGCAGCGAATGCCTATGGTGATGCAAAAAATACAATGAATAGCGCTATGGGTGTGGTTTCTGATAAGACTAATGATGCAATGGAGTATGGAAAAGAAAGAGCCGCCGATGCATATAATACCAATAGGGTTGAGAATGCTAAAGAGACAGTGAAAGGGGCATTAGGTTCGGGAATGGACAAAGCCACAAATGCCTATGGAGAAGCAAAGAATACAATGAATAGGGCTATGGACACGGCTTCTGATAAGGCTAATGGTGCAATGGAGTACGGAAAAGAAACAGCTTTCAATGCATATGGTAGCGATAGACTCGATAATGCCAAAGAGACGGTGAAAGGGGCAATGGGTTCCAGGACGGACAGAGCAGCGAATGCCTACGGTGAAGCAAAGAATACAGTAAATCGGGCAATGGATACGGTGTCTGACAAGACTAATGATGCAATGGAATATGGCAAAGAAAGAACTGCCAATACATATGATGGAGCCAAAGAGACGATGAACATGGCCTCAGATAAGGCCTATGATGCCAAAGAAAAGGTGGCGGGAGGAGTTGATTATGGAAGGGAAAGAGCAGTGAATTCTTATGATGAAGCAAAACAAAAGGTTGGGGAGTCATACTCGTCTGCTAAGGATAGTATGACTTCACATGCCAAGGATAACTATGAGGCTGCCAAGGGAGGAATCGATTATGGAAGGGAAAGAGCAGCGGATGCATATGATGAAGCCCAACAAAAGGTTGGGGAGTCATACACGTCTGCTAAGGATAGCATGACTTCAAGTGCAAGGCAGAACTATGAGGCTGCAAAGGAGACCGCCTCGCAAGCTGCTGGTGATCTTGGGGCTACGATGAGGAATGCAGGTTCGGGGCAGTAAGGAATTAATTAATTTTCCGCTGGCTGATTCCATGAAGCCATCTGTGATCAATATATATGTTTTTTCTTAGTAGCTAGGAAAATGTTGGGAGTTTTGTGGTGAGTTATATATGTTTCTTGTTTTCTCATACTCTGCCTTTTAGAGTACGTGTATTATTCTAAAATCAATTTTGATCCCGTATGCATCCGAAGAACTTGAGTTTTGTGTCTTTATATATCATGTAGATTCTCTTATTAACATGCAATATCATTTGTCTCCTCAATTTTGTCCTCGATGTAGGATTCATAACAAGATAGGTTCTTCAAAGTCCCGAGTCCAAGTGGCTAGATCAGTGTCTTCCCATCTGTCTCTGGTTTAAGTTTGAATTTCTTTACGCGTAGTTAGTGACTTGGAATGTATATAAAATAGGAATTAATATATTTTATATACGTAGTTAGTGACTTGGAATGAATGTATTTTATGGTAGACAAGCATATGTATATTTGCGTACAGCAACATTAAATAACATGGGGCATAGTATGTATATTTTTCTCCAATATATATGGCCTCCCTATACTCCCTAGTAAGTCTTCATCTCTCTGATTCATGCATGTGCTAGCTTTTCTTGTTTGTCTTCCATATTATTATAGTCAGCATGGATAAGGTGGAGAGGGGAGTTTCGAGCGCATGACTTCAGATGTTAAAATAAATACTCTTAATGATGAGCTACAAATCTTTTACACTCAGAACACTCAAAGAAGTTTTGACCAGGTCTTTCTAGGAAGGTTTTTAAGTATATAAATTCCTAGTGTAACTAAGTGATGTATTATAATACGAAATGGACAACCGGTTAATTAGTATATCTTTGGTTGCAAACTTGCGGTCGATAAATAGGAAAGATATCAGGGAGATGTGTGGCCTTGTGATAAGAAAGATACTAGCTGTGGAGATGTGTGACTATATGATACGAAAAATACCAAGGGGATCAGAATTTTTGTACCGCAATTCCAATTAAGCTTCTGAAAAAATAATATGAATTTATCCAAAATTAAGTTTGTAATATAAATACAATTTATGCTGGATATTAATCTTTGCCCATCACTAGATGTAATCGTTCCAAGAAACCCTTTCCTTCTCTCCATGTCATTTGATCCTTCACCATGTTTGATAATAATTTAAGAGATTTAAGGGCTTGTGTTTGATAATCAATTCGTTTATAATTTTTAGTCTTTATTTTTGTGCTATAGATGAAGAAGTACATTAAAAATGAGTGATACACATAGAAGTACATGAAAAAAAAAATGAGTGATACACGTTAGTAGATGAAAGATGGCTGAATAGAGATGTAGAACAAATTTACGGGAAGACAAACAAAATGAAAGCTAAAAGCAAAAAAACTATTTGAAATTGTTTTCACTTTCAAGATTTTGTTATCATTCGTTTTTTATTTATTCTCCTCTCTACTATCACCCTTCTTTTCTTGTATCTCAAACGCAAAAGTGAAAACTAAAATAAAGAAACGCAGTAGTTATCCAACAAGACTTGATTTAGCATGAGGATATTAGCATCACGACAAAAAACTGATTTCTCGTTCCTCTTTTCCTTTCCTTTTTTCTTCCTTTTACAGCTTACCCTAGTGAAAAGCTTAAGCTATTGATGAGAATGAAAAAGAAAAGTTGCATGCGAGAGCATTTCTAAGCACAAGTAAATTCGTTGGTATTATTTACAATGTTTCTGAAAGCAACCAAACAGAAATTCCAACAAGATAAATTAAGAAAAAAATAAAATAGCTAGATCAAGTGAGAATTAATTAATATCTACCACCTCAATATCTCTAGTATATATGCACATAAATAATTTCTGATCTAATTAGTCGCTAAATTTATCTATTAATTTCCCAGTTACAAATCAATCAATTGTATCACAAGGACTTCTTTCTAATTAAACATCAATTAATTGTGAAGTTTTAATTGGCTTACATTTGCTTCTTCTTCATGGCTTGTCTGTTATTGTGCATCCATACCTTGAACACCTGCCTCTTTATACCCACTTCAGAACACAACTTCTCCACCTCTTGCTCATCCTGTTTGTGGATCCTCCACCCCAACTTCTCCGCCACCTCCGTCATCTTCTCCTTCTGCTCTTGACTGAACTTCGTCCTAAATCGCTTCTTCGAACCTTGTGCATCCGCCGCATAATTTGCACCGCGAAACAGATTATTATTCATGTTGAGATCCTCGCTCGAGGACTCAGCAGCCACCCCACCACTGCTGCCAAAAGTCATCATCATCGCCGGACTAGGCCCCCTAGCCGCTGAATGATGAACAGGAAGCGACGGTGGTGTGGAGATTAGCACCGGCAATCTTGTAATCGCCGAGTCTCTACGGCTATTGTGTTGTTGATTTATGACATAGTAATTATTTGATACATGTTCGCCATCGATCTCTTTTCTGTGAAAATTTCTATGACACTCGCAAGCTGCGCATTTTAGGGATCCCGGAGTGTCCTCATCTCCGCCCGGCATGAACTCTCCGCATCCATCGAGCACGTGACCGCCGCTGCTGGCGGCGTGATTTTTCAAACACTCCCTATACCTAACTCTTGATGCTGCTGTACTTGGCGGCGGGTGCGGTGGAGCTGGTGGTGCTGTCAAATTTGATCCGCTAGCAATTGTTGTTGCAGCACTTGGGGTGACAATAACTGGAGTTGGGTCAGGATCTCTTCTTGATCTGTCTAGGGTTTGATGAGGTGGGTGGGTGAAGAGTGTGGCGTTGTTACCATGATACCCTGCTGAAGGAAAATCAGGAGAAGAAGAAAGCTTGGAGCAAGAAGAATCCCTATGGGGAGGAGGAGTATAGGTAAAAGTGCTTGGCATCCTCCCTATTACCTTATCTTGCTCTCTCAGTTCCATTAAAATCTGATATCTTATGTAACTATTATTATACTTGCCGTGATCTCAGCCTCCGTAGAATTTTCCTAAAAATAAATGAGTAGTGCGTTTACATTACCTATCTTCGTGATCTCAGTTATGATTTTCTCATAATTTATGGATTTTTTTGTAATTTTCTCAACTCTAATTCATACTATAGTACCCAGCTAATGTAAGAGCAAAACTTAATCAAAGATATAATCACTAACTTAATCTTATTATTCTTCTTTATTTTTTATTTGTATTTCTGATTTTGACATTTTTGGGTGCTAAATCCACCAACCCATCTCACTAAATTTCAACCCTATTTCCAAAGAGGTAAGAAGGTGGGTGAGAGAGATATATTGATGGATTAGATGAATTAAAAGATTGAAAAACTCACATAATTAACAGAAGAGCTCAAAAAAACAAAATAAAAGACAAATCTTGGAACTTAAACAGGAAAAGAAACTAGAGGGGGGCCTACTGGATTAGAGCTAAAATTAACCTGACCTCTTATAAATTACACTGTAAAAATTGGAGAAAGATTGTTGAAGTTGCACCACCATTATTGAAAGCAGGTATTATTAGCTGGTTCTGGACTTTGATTAAGGAGAGTATAAATCTCGCTAAGCTAAAGCTAATTAATGTAAGATTAATATCTCAGAGAGAGGGAGAAAGAGAGAGAGAGAGAGAGGACTGTTTCTCTTTGGAAGTGAGAAAGTGGCTTGTGTTTCCTACCACCCATCCAACCCCATAAAATCTATTTGAGAAACAAGAACAGGTGGTTTGGTTTGTACTCAAAATGAGTGATGAATACACTCAGAGAGAGAGAGAGAGAGAGAGAGTACTTCTTTTGCAGAAGAGCCGACAGGCTCACGTTAGTCCTCTCCCACAGCCTGAACCCTGGTCCAGTTCCTAATTATTGCTCTCTGAAACCCTTAACCACAACCAAATTAATGTGTTTTATGTGTAAGAGAGAGATAAAAGGAGGGAAAAGAAATGTCAGACTTGACGTTACACTGTTTACCTGGAATCTTCCTGCAACCTGAAGTTCTCAGCTTAAATCCTCAAAAACTGTTTGAGATTTGATTAGCAGACGTAAAACCCCATTAGACAGGCTCTAAACAAGGGTTGTAGCTAAAATGGTAATGAAACTTTAAAAGGCTTTTGCTACAGACTATTGAAAAAATCAAAGATAAAAAGAGTTTGTATGTTAAGTGATTAAGACTCTCTGTTTGTTGTATTATGTCAAAAGTATTTCTTTTTACAGTTAAGTTTTGTAATAATCACTTATATGTGTGTTTTAGTTTTAACTGAAGTCATTTCTATATTTACATTAACAGTTGAGAATCGCCTGTATTACAATGACACTACATTAACAAATTTTCCAAAGAGAAAATTAGAGGGGAGATTTTCTTTTGGTCTTCTTTTTTTGTAAATTTTCTTTTGTGGGTGGTGTGAAGGGAACTAAAGTGAGAGCAATGGTATGCTGGTCCACATAACAGCATTTATTTTGTTTTGTTAGTGAGTGTGTGTCAGAGGTTGTCTCAATCGACCATGTCATTCTAACAAAAGATTGATACCCTCTTGTATTTTGATAGTCGAGTCATTCCACTTTACATGATTTCACCTAGCCTTACATGATTTCTAAGTGAGAGAGTTGTCCTAATTAGCCGTATCGAATCTCTTCGCTTACTCGTCTACGCGATCATTTACAAGTTATCGACACTAAAACAAGGTAAAAAGATCGTAACAGTTTCTAAACACATTAGCTATTACATGGCATTGTGATCTGTGCGTATATTATCCTATAAATGCTTGATATATATTGATTGGTCCATATGTCGACGACGACGTAAATTTTAAGCTAATAATTGTCTAACATGGTATTACCATGCTTTCGTTTTCAGTCACATGGAAGAAAAAGCCAAAGAACTAATTAAGCAACAATTATCCCGTAAAACTGAAAGAATATTAGGAGGAAGCTCAGTCCAAAGTTGTTAAAACAGCTTCCTAATTGTTGTCTAACTATTAAGTCAAACATTATATTCCACCATAACAATCCACAACCCTGCTCACCGTTTATACATCATCTAGCTACTACATAATA